CGAGAAAAAAATGTCGAGAAACTTTGTTGCACCCGATAAATACCCTCCGCGCGCGTTAGAAATATTTTTTTTAAATTTCAGTGTTTAACTGAAGTTGCAGTTGAAAAAGTACATGAATATCGACACGAATGCAATGAAAAAAACGTGTGTAATAGATGATTTCTAATTTCAATCACAATGTGACTTCTTTAGACGTCGCATGTAAGAAATAGCGAAAAATTTGTACAAAAAACGATATATAAATTGAGAATGCTATAAAATCTCCTATTGTATTACGTTATCCTTCGCGCTCATTAAGTTCGCGGTATCGTGGGACCTTAATCCAACTATATTCCGGCTTAATCTAGCCACATTCCAGTTCTGTAGATAAAATCGCGTAACACTTCTTACAAACGTGAGTCTGAATGGGGAATTTCATATCGATATTCGATTTTCTCATCTAGCGTAATATATTTTTTTTATGATCGTGCTTTATAGGACAAAAGAAGAAAGACTAACAAAATACGAAATGATTTTGATATTTCTGTTATGTAATAGATCGCGAATACTATTCAATGATAAAGAGACTTATGTCGATCGATCGTATAAAAGTTTTGTTTTGCAATCTTTGATTTATAATTTGACCTAAAATAAATTAATCGATGGCATAAAAAGAGTGTTAATCGTAAAATTTACATCTGAGTATTACCGTATTATTAAACGAATTTTTATTCATCTTATGAAATACAGATGGAATATCCTAGAGTTGAGGGTTTCACGGATCAAATCTCGTATTATATGAGAACTGGATTTAATATTTGACAGTTTTATCGAGTGAACAATAATCTCGCAAGATTATTTATCTTCAGATGAAGATGGGAATTAAATCGATTCTCTAAATTACTAAGAGATTCCTTCCTTGGGGAGTCTACCAAGCACAAATGAATATTTAAACGGTGAAAAGGCAGCCCGAGCATCAAAGACTTTCTTATTATTGAAAAGTTTGCGATAGAAGATAGCTTATTACTTTCAATGCACTCGGGCTTCTCGATAAGTCTCGTTATTTTGATACTCTCTTGCGAACTATTATCTCTATCACTCTTTTCTTTTTTTCAAGAAATATTTTATCATTAAAAACAATTATCTGTAAAGTATCAGTTTTAATAACTATCATATGTATGATAAAATGTACATACGAAACATGTGATACGAAAAATATAGTAGATTCGCTTATTTCTTCATGAAAAAAATAAATATATAAAACATCTTATTTATATATTAATAGAAATTTATAGAAATATATATATATATATATATATATATATATATATATAAGAAATATATATATATATATTTTTTAAATTATATTTTTTAAATTAGAATGTATTAATAACACATTTTCTTTCTTTAATTTGAAATTGATTTTTATCTCTATTTTTTTATCTATAAAGTTAGCATCCCACTTCAAAAATTCCATATAATATTTAATACAGTTAATAATAAATTAATACAGTTCTGATTTTTTCTTAAAAAGTTCCAAGTTCGTTGTAAATTAATTATAGTTAATGAATTCTGAAATTAAATATGAAAAACAAAAATTCGGAGGTAAAATGCTTGTTTGCCTCTTTTATACATTTTTATTACATGAATTGGATATAATTGTATTTAAATCAAAAACACATTTTTTAAATATTTATATTTTTTTTTATGAAGTTCTGAAACTGTCCAAAATTTTTATCAAAATTCTAGATTTAAAAAAAAAGCTTTCTTACAAATTGGAAAACTTACATGCAAAAATTTGAAAAATTATCAAAACTCTTTTATTTTTTTATCTTATCGATTCGAAAATTAAGCATAACACTAAAACTTTCAAAAAGTTAAAAGCAATTGAAAATTAAAAAGTTACGATAAATGATTAACTTCCTCGACATCTTCGATAAAAGAAAGTCTATATCAATTTTTTTTTCATTCTTTCTTTGTCATTAGAAGAAAATCTATTATTAAAACTAAAAAAAAATATTGGAGTACTATTACATTTGATGATTTATTCGTATTTCAATTTCTCACTGTTCTGATCTTTTTTAGGTAAAAATACTTATGTATTATATTTTTCAACCTTCAGCTTCTGCAGAAGAGAAAGAATGAAATTTTGTCTCTTTGAAGATTGCATTATGCAAGTTAATTTGCAATTTGATATAAACTCGTCCATGAACTCGTTCATAAAAAGAAATCCATGTGCTGCCTTTTAAATATAAAGGAAATATAAGATATATATATATATATATATATATATATATATATATTTGTGTGTGTGTGTGTGTGTGTGTGTGTGTGTGTATGTATGTGTGTACACAGATATCTTTTCAATATTGATATTCTCTACTCTTGCATTTCAATTTATGTTGGAAAGGTATTCCTGACATCAGTCTCCTTGAGTTGCGTGAAAGAAATTCGAGATAAAAAAAATTGAGATTCTTTTCTCAGTTTCGCTAACTGTTCTTGGCTTTGAAATCCGACGAAATTATAGCGAGAAAAGAAGTACATATTAAATATCTCGTATCTTCTCTATTTTCTGTTCTCGCGAACAAACGAGACTGCAATTAAATGACTTTCTTACAAAAAACGTACTGTCGCTAGTTCGCATTAGATATATATATATATATATATATATATATATATATATATATACATATATATACATATCATTATTACTTTTTCCTACATAAACGAGTTTTTTTTTATGAAAAATTATTTAAATTTCTCACAAAAAAATTATAGATAAGTTACCTTTCCATGTCAGATTTATTAAGTGTAATATAACCTAGAGATTTTTTTGTTTTATTTGTAAGCAAATAAATAAAACAAACAAACGTATATTATTAACAAGCACAATCGGCCGTTTATAACGCCTTGTGCATTTTTATTATGCACCATTTCTCAAAGCTCGCTTAAATCGCCACAACGGCCTACTTAGAATCTATCCAGCCAAGCAATTTATTTTCATTTCTCTCCTAACGATTCTCAACCCTCTTCCGTGCACTACTTTCTATACAGACGACGAATAATTTCGTGCTCCTTCCGAAACCATTCACTTTGTCCGATCGATAGCATTAACGTTATAGTTTCGAGAAATTTTGTAACACGATTACAAGTGAGCTGGAAAACGCATGTAATGATTTCATCTCCAACAATTTAGCATTAGAAATAGTACTGAATCCCTAAAATCAAATTAGAACTATTACTTTTATGCATATAGGTTTTTATAATAAATTTATATGAGGATTTTTTGTTGGAAGAGAATGATATAAGCAGCTGTTGCAGCACATATTCCAAAACGTTCCTATCCTTCCTCTTGTTGCGCTCATTTTATAATTAAATTTTATAATTATATATATATATATATATATATATATATATATAAATATATATGAAAACATTATTAACATTTTGACATTTTGCATAATAAAATTTTTAATTGACATGTGTGCAAAATCGTGTTAAATTAAGTGATATCAAAATTATGAATGTACATTTATCAAATAGAGATCAGAGATATATAAGATTATTAAATATCTTATTTAATTTCATGCACATAGATATTATAATCTAATTATCTCATTTAACTTCAAGAAAAGACATTTTAATCTAATTATAGCTTAATCTTAATCGAGAATCTTAAATTATGAAAGAAGATAACATTCCATAGAATTTCTAGACCAAGAAAAACACAACATAAAATGTTGTGCCAGCAAATCCTTGTACATTCTCCTTCTCTTATTATTTATTCTTTTCTCTTGTGCTTTCCATGAAATTTATGATTGCCATAGCTTAATTGTACTAATTGCTTATATACGTAAATTTCAACGCACGATTTAGAAGGATTTAATTTCGGCTTATTAACGAGGTACAAAATGATAAAAGGAAATGAGAGGAATAGGAGATAGAGAGGCTAAAGTTTGAGAGATATTGCTTGCATTCTGAATAACATAGCTAACTACGTTACGCAATATGCAATGCACGCATTAGAGAGGGAATAATAATATGTCATTTCCACAATTTAAAAATGTCTTTTATAAGATTTGCATTAAAATCTCTGATATAAATACTGTAATAATAATTCGCTTATTTATTTCCTTGTGAAAGTGTTGCGTAATATTTGAACGTTTGGCAGATAAATATTTATTTACTTTTTATTTTCCCTCATGATTATAATTGATAAAAAAAACCTGTGCCGATAATGTTCGACTAGATGCTTTCGCAAATTAAATTCTTTGATTTCTCCTTCAGAGATTTTACAATGTCTTTGTCGCGTAATCAAATTACCTGAATCCAATTAATAGTTCATCGATATACAACGGTGGGTCGAAGCGACTTGACTTGTTCACTCACGGTACATCCACGATCGTAGTTAACCACGTAGTCAACGTTATGTACGTAGAAACCGCGCGTTGTTTGCCACCAGCAATTCGGAGCATGCCTGATTGAACGTAACACAGCGCATACAACGCATCCGCGGCGTTGTACGGTTGTCTTACGAGATATTAAACCCCGAATCCAGCTGTCCCATGTCACGTAATGTGATACCGGCCCGTGCGTGCAACGAGAACAACGAAAATTGTTGTATAACAACGCATCGGCAAGAGAAACCGTTATTGGATGTAACACGTCCCGCGAGGCTACCATATTCGCTTGCGTATGAAATCTGTTTGCCGATTTTATCGCACGTGTAGCTTTATGACACGTCCATTCAAAAAAAATAAAAGGGCCCAGAGTATCACCATCGAGTAACACTCGGTGTTTTGCGGCTCTTATTGCCAATCAATTGTGACGGAATATTTTTAAGTTACATAATACCTGGTGGTTTTTTCATCAGGATGCAATGATTTTCCAATTTTTTTAAAACAGAAAGAGAGTTCGTTATCTTATAAAGTTTTAATGCTGCCCTTTCATTCATATACTTATTATATTGTCACCAATGTGATATACACACTAAATTCCTTGAGGAAAATTATATTACTCACCCTTGGTGATTTGCGTTTGGCGCTCTCGACACACGGGAAACCACCGCACTGAAATACATACATAAATGTATATTATATAATGGTCCTATCTAATAATCATGTTTAAAGTAATTAATACAAGAACACATAATATTTTAGAAAAAAGAATATTTTTTATGGCTAGAGATTTTTGCGTCAAATATTAATCACAACTAGTACAGTGAAAAACATTTTTATGCAGAAAGTATCAGAACTAGATGGGTAACATAGATTGGTTTTATAGCATAATAAACAGTAGATGGTATGTTATAAACTACATTCGAGGCTTGTACGTTGGCCTTTGTAAAATGTACAGTAAAGGCGTTCAATGAATGCCTTATCAGAAAGGCGTGTTTTAAATTATATTATAAAATCATATCTATATGCGTCGAGACAATTTAACGATCAATATAAGAATTCATAATTCTGAAATTTACATACCGCCATTATATATTAACTCTCACCTCACAGTAATTGCACATGCTCAGGTATAATACGACATTTGCATAATATTTTTTATACATTAAAATATACAATATGATGAGAAAAATTTTTTGTCAAATCAACAAGATCGTTTTTGAACTACAAATATGTTAAAACTTATATCATGTTAATCATTTCTAAATTATTAAATAAATAGTTATATTACTTTTGAAATAAATGCGTATTTAATTCGATATGTTCTGGCTTAATTTTTTATTATTTTTTTTCTATGAAACATTTTAAATAATATTGTAAGAATAACATTTAAAATTGTCATGAATCTTAAAATGTTATTTTAAATAAGAGAAATTTCTGATAATTCTTTTAAAATCATTATTTTAATTAATAATTTTCCATCTTTATGGTGCTTTCCAGATATTATTAGAAGTACAAATATTTATACTTCCATTATTTTAGGAAAAATAAACTTTTGAATTTATCTAATCACTATCAATATAATAGAGTCTACATTTTCAAATATATGCATCGCTATCATGATAAAATCATGATGATTTTTGTTATACGTTTGCTTAGATTATATAAATCTATCGAAATTAATAGAAATTTTGTAAGATTCAAAAATTCGAAATATATAAATATATAAACTGAGAATTACATCACTATCATTATATGTGAGAAAAAAATGATTTAACGGACGAAGTATCATTATGGAGTGAAATTTAAAAAAAAATATATTTATGCGTTATAATCATATGTCAAAGAGATATTCGAAATATTGTTTCATAACGATTAAACGATTTCATCAAACTCGTCGGCATATTAATAATTCGTTATGCCTTCATGTCTGCTTATTACAGTTTAACGATGGAAGAATCTGTTCGGCTTTTCCGTCAACTTGTTACGCAAGCGGACGAAACGAGTCATTCCGAAATGCGAAAAAGTTCGCCACGAGCAACCATAGCCGCCATATACAAACACCGCAAGTGCGGTTTATTATTTTATCATGACGGACACGTAAAAATATGCTGAGCGCTCGTGCGCGATTTCTATGCGTGCACGCGACGAGTTTAATGCGCGGATAACCGAGTGGAATGGTTTTGTCACGGAAATATCACTGACTAATGCGATAAACATTTTTTTCCACATTATTTTAACCCTCTTAATTCTTCAATAAAAGTAAATTATATATTTATATTTTTTATTAATATATCCAATAAACTCCATATTTATTCTCTTATTACTTCGCCTTTGTTAGAATATTACAGTACTATGTATAAACAATTCATTAATAAAGAGTAATTTTTCATTACATTAAATTCTAAATTGCATTAAAATTTTTTCATCTAAATTAATTGTAATGTAATTTCAAAGAATAGAATATATAATAGAATATATGATTCTATTTTTTTCCTTTTTGCAGCTTTTTTACAAACCCATTGAAAACAGACTTTAGTAAATTCATATGAAATTTACATTAGCATTTTGCATATATTTTATCCGCCCAAATGCAATGTCAAAAATATGAAATTCAAAACGATGTCTGGAACGTGAACGAGTTACGAGAGAAGGACGCAAAAGAAGAACGCTCGGTTTTGTCGATGATTTGCCGAGCGGTCGCAACGGAAGAATAGAATTGCTTTCCGCTTCTGACGGAATTCCTACCATATTCCACGGACATGCTACTTCCGATTGTGTGTGTGTGTGTATGTGTATATATATATATATATATATATATATATATATATATACTACCTTTTTTTAGCTCTGTCAAATAATTTAAAAATAATTTAAAATAATCGCACTATTATTAGTGCATATCTTCTTAATTATTTCAAGCTAAAAATAGTAAATAATAAATAAAATAAAATAAAATATTGTAGTGAAAAGTATGCTACAAAAAATTAAGTAAATGAGAAAGTAAAATCTTTTTTTTCACGACTGCTCAGTTTATAAAAAAAATTACAAAAAGAATTACTTAATTTATTTATAGTATTATTTTATATTTGTTTTTTATTTAGAATATATGATAAATAAAAATTTCGAACGGATGATAATTCGATCTTTTATTGTTGCCTTATGCTGATCTCTTTTTACGAAAGATTCACGGTCGACAGAAGGGAGAACAGCACTTTATTCCTTCGCTCGGTCCATGCTTCGCGATGATTAAGTCTTCCCCGGAGTTTTATCCTCGGAGGGCGGAAAAAAGTTCCACGGGGAAGACTTGAACTCCCTCTTTCCGTCTAGAACGGTTTTATCTTCGATCACGCTTCGTGCTGCGATGCGGTCTCGTTTGCGCAAAGTCGAGCGAGATAATCGATATGTCTTCGTCCGCTCTCGCCACCTAAAAGCCGCCGAGATGCTATTTCTCGTCGTTCCTTTTGCCCTTCGTTGTGCGATCTTTTATTATTATGCGCGTTCAAGGCTAAAGAGCAATTCACATATATACACACACACATACACTATATCATTTTTTCTCATCACTAAGCAACAATACAAGCATGATGACAAGAGAGAGAGAGAGAAAACGCGCAAGAATAAAAAGAGACTCAATTCATTAAAAAACCCAACTTTGAAGAAGTCTTTATTAAAATTAGAAAATATTCGAATTTCACTTTTTTAATAAAATAGGATATTCGAATTAAGAGATCATAAAATGATTGAGAACAATGATTTAATTATAAATATATAAATAAATTCTTAAATATATAAATAAAACAAATAAAAGCACATTCTCCCTTTATTCTAGAAAGTATGAATATATAAAAATGTAAATATAAATAATGTAAAAAAAAGTATTCTTTTTATAAAACATGAATAAAATCTAAATAAAATCTTTTTTCGCTATTTTAGAGAAACTTCTTATAAAAAGAACGTGCAACCACAATCTGGCATAAATATAGAAATATTAGATAACAATTTTTTAAAGAGGGTATTTAATACATAAAACTCTTTCTCGTTTGCATAATAAATAATTAACGATCGGCCATAAATATCGAATTGTATAGCCGATATTATGGCATATGTTTGAGGTGATTCTTCTCGAATCGATTTCCGATCAACTCTGATGTATATTCAATCGTTAACACTTTTGTCAGCGAAATTAGACATTGATATTGTGTTTTGAGTAAACGAGAAAAAAAAATATCGTTGCTGGTTCGTTATTAAAGAAACAAGAATATCGATCGGTTCGCACATTCTCGCGTAATAATGCTCTAAATAATAATTCAAATGTGACAAAGCAAATTCGTCGCTGTAAACTGCTTGCGCAAACCATAAGTAATTTAGAGCAAATTCGATTAACACGAACGGCATCACCGTGCAATGTTTACCAGCGATTGACACAAACTTCGCTGGCTGTAAATCATCGAAAGGCCCATGTCAACGGGGATTTTCATTTTTGATCGTTGACAGGAATGGCCGACCGTCGCCTCGCTCAACAGAATTAATTCAGTTTTACAACCACTCCCTTTACATTTATGCCTCTACTCCCCACAGCTGGGATATGTCTGAACCACCCGTTTAAATGGACGCTCGCTATGTTATCCAGAATGGATACAAAAACCGCGACCTACGCGTGCTATAAAAAAAAGACGAAAATACATTTTAATTAAAACAAAAAATTATATAGAAATTCAATTTTATACGGGTTTATTGCAGTAGGATTTACAACTCTCTGAAAATTTCGTTATTATAAATCTGTTCATTATAATGGAGATAATATTCTGTTATTTTCAATATACACATACAAAAGCGATAAATCTACTCGTTCCGCGTGTATAGAAACAACTAATTTTTTCACTTTAATTTTCATTTTAATTGATTAAATGTAAATTTCTATACGGATTTCTGTTAATCTTGGACAATTTAACAGCGCGCGCGCAGTTTAATTATAACATCGATCGTCTGCCATTATTTTCTCAAGATACATAAAAGTTACAGTTTCAGTAAATGTTTTGACTAACAATATTAATAGTAACTAAATTGTGAAATTAATAATCATGAGTGAAAAGATGATATTAAACTAAATTATGAAAAAAGGAGATGATGCAAATAGATGCTATGAATGATATCCTGATTTTAACTTGGCAGAGTTTTTCAATACTATTTATTTTTACTTGCGTTTTGTCACAAGTAAATCAATATTCACATATAAATACTATGTTATATTTATTATTTAGGGTATACATTTGGATATTTTTATTCTTGCTAATTTGGATATTTTTATTCTTGCTAAATTTAATTATAAAAAAAGAATCTCATTAGTAAAAATTATTTGTAAATTATTACTATGCATGAAAGATATATATAATTGGCTTTATTAGATTAGAAAGTCAAAATGTTTATATATATCTCACGGTATTGGAATTTGGAAAGAATCCACTTTATATAATTTTTATATTTTCGTGCAGATAAATTGAAACTATAAATAATGCAAAATAATAAAATTTAAAAAATAAATAAAACTGTTTATATATATGTATGTATGTGTGTGTGTTTATATATATATATATATATATATATATAAAGCAATATGTGTATATAATGACGACCACTGGCAGAACTAGATACAATTGTACAATAAAAAT